TTGGGACCAGGTCTCTTTCCTGTTGACGGTGACTGCGGAATTTGTTCCTTGCTGCTTCTTCTTAAGAGATTTCATGAAGAGGAGTAAATTCAGCTCAGGCTTTCATACATCACAAGATTTATTAACCCATCAAGTAGCCCCTACAGAAAAAAAAAAATTAGAAAAAAAAAAAGCTAGCAAACTCAGGCAGCACTCCTCAAAAATCAAAGAGATAATACAATCTTTAAACAAAAACTTCAGACTGCCAGAAACTCAGCTGACCAAGGCTACTTAAAACAACAAACCCTGTCCAATGTACAAACTGGCCAGCTTAACTACATGCCCCTTCCTCAGCTGATTTTCTTAACGAACACTGAAAATGGATTGCTCTGTCCTCAATCCAGCTTAAGTAATTGTCTGGAATTTCTGAAGGTTACACCCTATGAAAGGTTCTTTATTTGTACCCTTTGCACAAACTACCAGTGTTAAGAATCCAACATTTTCTGGCCCTCAAAACAACCCTGGTCTCTTTTGCTCCTCCATTTCTCTGAAGTAATTTCTTTAATGAGTTTAAGAAAGAGAACTTTAAAGACACGTGTACTCACTGAAAAAAGAAAATACACAGCATTGATGAAGCAAGAAAATACAGAGCAGATCCCCATCCAGCTACCTGCTGCCAGGGAACCCATCACTTCTGTGTTGTGAAACAACAATTTTTAACAACATTGCAGAGTTTAAAAACAAGATTTAAGAAAGGGGGAATGATTATCATTAATTCAACACCCCATTAAGCTACTCCAAAAATGAATTACCAGTACCTCCAAATATCATGTTTCAGCTATTCTAAATGAAATAGATGGACTGTGAAATAAAGGGTGTGGGTGTGTGTAATTTAAAATCCTGCATTTGGATTTTGTATAGTCTGAAAGCTTGAGATCTTTCCTACTTTTTGACCTGTGAATATAGATGTAATGAAACCATCACATATATTGTATGATTCAATGTTACATTCAGTTTTCTAGCAACAACAATACTGAGACATCATCGTTACTTTAAGACTGCTTTGGATGTTTCTGAACACTTGTTACTGCTGCCATCACTTCTAGTTCTGATCTCTCATGTGCATGGTCACTATAAAGAATGCATTTGCCCTTCTTCAAGTTCTTTGACACGTGCTTATTTCCCAAAGCCCTGCCTCATAATTACTTTTACCTGACCAGTACATCCTCACTCAGTCTACCTTAAAACTCATTGTAAGTCAGACTCACTAATCGTGTCTTCTGACATACCAGGAACTGTCACTGTTTTTTAACCACAGCAAAATTCTACAATTTCTTTTTAGCTGACCCCAAAAGCATTCAAAGTAGCTTGCTCCCAAAAATGTGTTGAAAAAAGCAACTTATGACTAAGCTGCAGATCTTCAGCATACCTCATTGCATCTTCTGTTCCTCTTAAATTTAACACAGGCACACGTGAGCCACAAAGGACAAGAAAAGCTGAAAGAGTATTAAACCACTTACGGTAATTTCATCCTCATGAAAACTCTGGCCATGAAGAAGCTCAAGAGCACGCTGACAAATCCAATAAAGAGTAAAAGAAACCTATTCAGCTTGGGGATATTTGGTGCATTGGATCGATCCAGAATTATGAATCCTAGGCCACCCATTGTGAAGAGGAAACTGGATGCGAGCCCTTCCATGATATATTGCCCATTTACCCTAAAGAAAATAAAAAACAGGGAGGGGGAAGAAGAGAGCCAGAAAAAGATTAGTTTTAAACAAACTATTTACATTTCAAATCCCATCTACTCAGCCCATATTAATTGCACAAATGCATAGGATGATTAACTTTGATGGCTGACTTTCTAACAAGTAGAAGGTATGGAAACTGATGTTATGAAATTACATCAAGGCTTTAATCAGTAATTTCTCTCCAAGACTGATAGCGTGCAAGGTGACCAGTCAAGCACGGTGTGTACAGTTGTATGTAACAGTGTATACTAACGGCCACTGCATAAGCTCATCAATTTTCTGAAATATTTAGTCCAAAGTAGCACCTAATTTCACAGGTGGTTCAAGGCCTCTGGGCCATTGAGGTTTCCAAGTCTTACTGCCACCCCAATGTTCAGAGAGCAGTGCCTGAACCCTCACCAGGTGCAGATCCCCCCCAAAGCACTATGTCACTGCACAGCTGCGGGTTCCAGCACACAGCAGAGGCCCCCCTTGTCTCCAGCATGTTCTGCTGCTGGCTCGCTGCCAGCTGTCAGTCTGCACAGCCACCCTCCCTCCTTACAACGCTCAGATGGAGACAGCAGAAGCCAAGGTGCTGAAAGAACATTGCACCTGGCTCATGAGTCTCCTGCTTCCCACAGCCACTCAACCCATCTACTGTCACTGTAATTAAAAACCTCATAAAAATTAGTACCGATGAAACTACTGCGGATGCCAACACAGAAATTATCATTGTTGTCTCATATCTTGTAAACAAACAATTTCACCTTCTTTAATGTTGTTTTCACTGACTTGTTCTAAAGCCTCAGAATCACAGACGTTTTGTTGGGAAAAGACCTTTAAGATCATTGAGTCCAACCATCCACCCAGCACTGCCAGGTCCACCACTAACTATGTCCCTAAGCGCCACATCTACACATCTTTCAAATACCTTCAGGGAAGGTGACTCCACCACCTCCCCAAGCAGCCTGTTCCAGAACTTGACAACCCTTTCAGGGAAGAAATTTTTCCTAACACCCAACCTAAACCTCCCCTGGCACAACTTGAGGCCATCTCCTCTTGTCCTATCACTTGTTACTTAGGAGAACACACTGACCCCCACCTTACTACAACCTCCTTTCAGGAAGTTGTAGAGTGATCAGGTCTCCCCTGAGCCACCTTTTCTCATGGCTAAACCCCAGCTCCCTCAGCTGCTCCTCATGAGACTTGTTCTCTAAACCCTTCACCAGCTTCATCGCCCTTCTCTGAACATGATCCAGCACCTCAGTGTCCTTCCTGTAGTGAGGAAAAACTGAACCCAGTATTGGAGATGCAGCCTCACCAGTGCTGAGTACACTCACAATCACTTCCCTAGTCCTGCTGGCCACATTGTTTCTGATACAAGCCAGGATGCTGTTGGCCTTCTTGGTTCATGTTCAAGTGGCTGCTGATCAACACCTCCCCACCTTCCCCCCCGCCTTTCCACCAGGCAGCTTTCCAGCCTATCAGCTCCCTGCAGTAGCTCAATTCATCTACATTGCAACAATCCAAGGCAGTCTGAAACATACTACGCCTACTGTAAGCCAAAATACGTACAGGAGGCATATCACAGACCTCAGAGATGTAAAGAACTTTTCTGGTTTTTAACAAGAACTAATATGTTTCTTGGAGCCGGTTTCGACACACAAAAACCACAGTTACAAATGTAGATTTAACCCCCTTTGGACCAATTTGTTACTAAGCAGTCTCTAGCTTATTTTCATTATGAGAAGCATAAGGCGCAAAGAAGACACTCTTATTTCACATTTGTAACTATGTTCCCCACCCTCAGACAAAAAGGTCCCAGTTACACCAGAGTTTAAAAGGCCAGAACCAATAGTTTCATAGACATTACATTTGCCATTATGAAATATGATCGAGTATGTCTGCATCCACTATAAATCTCAACTTTAATATCAAGGGTTTGGAATAAAAACAAGTACCACCAGCTCAAATTTTTTTTTCTTACCAGCTTTTCATTTTTAAAAGCTTTAGCACTGAGTTCTTCTATTCCCACTGACTTCAATTTAAAAACAGGAGGAAAGGAGGGACAGGAGGGACTAAAACATTTGGAAACAAAGGGCTTATACAGAACAGACCCTGCCTTGCTCAGAGCTCAAAGAGAAGTAGATGCACAACTCTGTGAGGTGGTTTTATTCACTTGCAGTTAGGCATTTGCAGCACCTCTCTTGTGGGGACAGAGGCCTCTCCTACCCTCTTACCTGTATGCCAAGAACGCCACTGGCCTCTGATGCCCGTGTTCGTCTGTCATCGACCCCACGCTGGGAGGTTCCACAATCACGTCGTAGATAATCCCTGCGTGGAGGAAAGCAAGCATCACCTCTGCCTCACGGCAGCGAGGGCCACCCGCGCACCGCAGGGCCGGGGTGTGTGTTCTAGGGGCGGTCTGCAGTCGGACAAGAGCCGGGGACGAGGGGGGAGGGCAGGGGAGGCGGCGGCGACTCCGCTACCTGGGGCCGGGCCCAGCAGCCCGCCGCGCAGGGGAAGAGTCAGCTCGCA